GACGGATTATTTATTTATTTTTGATTTATTTATTTCGATAATGTACTAAAGCATACAATTAACATTGCATAACAGCATAAATAAACAACAAATGCATGCTAGAAAATTATCGAGGGGATGAAAACACAAAAAAGCGTGGCTACACACTTATGTCCATTGGTGGTCCAACATAACATTGTAATACCGGTACTTATACTATAAACATATAGCAAATAGCTATACCACGATCCAAAATTTCTTAGTGATACATTGTTACAAGTACAAAACATTTGAAATACAGCCGCATAAAAGAAACAATATGATAGCAAAAAAACAAAAAAACTTCAGGTCATATTAATATCACAAGTAAAAGTGTTGCTAAGGTAAGTGGTTGGCAGCTTAAAAGAAAAAAAGAAAAATAGAAGCTTTCTGAGTGATACCAATACAAACAGAGCAGACATGCAAGAAACAATATAACTGAGAAAAAAACTTCATGCATATTCTGTACAGCGATAAAACTGATACGGTAAATGCTTTAGCGGTAGAAATTGAATGTTTCCTGAGTGAATTACAGGCTACAAAGCAGTGCCCAGCAAAACACGCAAGAAAACAAATAGCACGAAAAAAACTCATCAAATTTGTACAAGTGATAGTACCTTGTAGCACAGCATTTCGACACTCGCGTTCGGTACACGCATTTATATCGACATTACAAATAACATATTTTCGTCACACACTACATTTGTATAGATATAAACGTATGAAAGAAAACGCATAGTGTTAGGCAGTATAAAATAGTATTTTGCAGTGATACAGCTACAAAGCAGTGCATTTTACATACAGGAAGGAAAACCAAAAATAGATTACAAGAAAAACTTCAGTATAGCCTGGAGTGCAAAGTGATTAAGGGTACACTTTACCATCTTTCGACACTCATGTATGTACATATCTATATATATATTGCTACATACATACACCCCAACACTCATATTTATTATGTGTAATATATTATATATAATATAATACTCTATCCAAGTATAAATACACTGATAATAACAGCTGATGAGATCATGTCACCCTATACTTTTAAATCTATTCATTATACGAGATAGATACAAATATGAAGTCACTGTCTTCCTGTCTTAACCTTTTCCATAGGGTTTTTTTAACTTGCCCTTTGAAACGTAATAATATCTGGCTGCAGATCTCATGCTGAGGTGGTAGGGGAAGTTCAAGCTTCAATGAAGTGTTTAAATGTCTTTTTTCCATTGACCCCCACTCTTGGTTTAAGATGACAGCTCCCCAGCCCTATGAAAGTAGGTATTTTCAGATGTATTTCAATGGAAATTTCTGACATTCATCCTAGAATTACGTAACATTATATCAAGAGCGGATGAATACCTAGAGTTGTACGCAACGGAAAACTGGAAAATAGTGCTATTTCACGACTACTGTTCTACTTTGCCTGCGGAGTCTAGAATAAGTTCTGATGGTATTGCAGTTAAGCCGAATTCTTTGCTTCTCTAAACAAGACAACGCTATGTCAATACGATACTCTAGGCGGAGATATCGGCCTCCTACACCTCCCCTCCCACATGCCAACGCCACCTCGATCACTTCTGCCACCAGTCCTACACGCGCGGTACCAGCATTTTGGACCGCTATCGGGTTTCCGTCACACTTGGAGCGCTTGCTAATAGATGTCATGATGCCCAATTTGTACTGTTACTACACCTTGTAACTGCAGCTGCGTTTGTAAAAACTTGACTGGAGGCCGGCTCCATCATACGGGCGTTCCGTAGCCGTGCTAGGAAAGATTAATGGAGATAAGGGCATAGGCCGAATGCCCGAATGTCACTATATTGATTAACCGAAGCACCGTCCATTCATAAATTTATCGCGGAAAAAACCGAACTACGACCGCACGCTTTCCACACCCGCGCGTGTAGTAGATGTCGCCACGACGAGGAAGTGGATTCGGACGGTGGCGGTTTGCATGTGGGAGGGAGCGATTTAGGAGCCGATATCTCCGCCTAGGAGTATTCGTATTTGACAAGCGGTTGGTCTTGTTTTAGAGAGCAAGCATTCCTGCTTATGCAATCCATGAATTGATTCTAGACTCGCAGGCAAGTAGACAATGTCCTGAACAATGTAGGTCGGTGATAATAGCACTATTTCCCGTTTTTCCGTCTGTACCTCTAGTATTACTCCGCTCTTGATTATACTGAATACGGATGCATTAGCATAACACCGCTTTGACGATTAG